GGATGTCTGCTGGGACGCCGCCGCCAGTCCCCGTGGTTGCCCTTCCTCCTCATCACTCTCCGCCACGGCTCTCCAACTCGCCTGCGTTTTAGATCGTGCCCCGGGTTCCCGGTCACTCCTCTCCCCCGCGCTCCACATCGAGTCTCCTCGGGGTGGTGGCTCCTCTAACAACGGGGCCAATCTCTCCATCACCCTTGACATCATCGCGAGGGTGGTTTCCATGGAAGCCAATTTCTCCTCCAGATAGTCCAATCTCTGCGGGGAGGGAAAGTCTAGCCCACTGCTTTCTCGCGCTGCCGCCGCTGCCCCCTTCACTCGTCTCTGGGTGACTCCGTTGGGCTGGGCATATGCAGTCGATGAAGCCAAGGCATTTACTCTCTCCAGCTCTTCTTCCGCATTCTCGAAAGGGGAGTCTGGTTCTCTCCCTCCCGTTGGATTTTCTGTTAGGTCCTCCTCTCCCTGCATGGGGGTGCCTCACCACAGCCGTGGGATGGCACCGAGCAATCCTGGCTTAATGTAAGCTCCCAGCAGCCGCCCCAAGAATGACACAGGATGCCGATCCGTAATCAATCAGGAAACTTTTACTACTGGATATGCATACACAACGAAAGCCAGGATTGGCACACAGTCTCAAGTTAACTCTTATATACCCTCCCCCATATTCGAATCCCCTTTTCCCGCCGACCGTAGTTCCCGCTCAATGTTCCCCGCCAACCACCAACTGCTCCTCCCAAGGCCACCAGCTGCATACTCTTATCGGCTCTCCATGTCAGGATTCTGGTTTTTTGCGCCAATGTCCAAGGCCAGGAAACCGAGCCCTGACACATAAGCAATCATTAAAACCATAAATTATGTATATCTGGAGATGTAACTGAGGTTATTTTGGTGATCATAATAAATGCTTATCAGTCAAAGTGTGTTGAATAAATTTTGTTAGGCCTGAATTTTTCCACTTAGGATATCCACATATCTGTTTTTGTTTTGCTCAAAAGTTTTTGTGTGCAGTTTATGAATGAAGGTAAACTATAATGAGAGCAGAAGGTTGCACAAGCAGAAGGGACAACATCCCGAGAGTCTTATTTTTTGGTCATTTAAATCAAAACTCATCATTGCAGCTAAAAAACAACTCAAAAATTGTGCAGAAAACACCCAACAAAATCATAGAAAGCTGGGGAGAGAAATAATAAAACCGTGCCCTGTAGACTAAGGGTTTAACAAGATAGTAAGAGTGAAAAAAATATGGCATTTTTTTTCAATCACAGCTGAAATTTTGGCAATCAAGGCAGAGTGAACCTATGGCACAACTGATGCTGTCAGACTCTATTTCCCATCAGCCCCCACCAGTGCATCCATGACGATGGATAATGGGAATAGAAATTCATTAGCATCTGGAGAGGCGCAAGTTCCTTACCCTTCTGATCATCATTTATGTTCATCAGTATGTAACCCTCCTGTAAACCAAATTAATAGTTGGCTGGTTGTCTGATAAAGTGTGTAAATCTGCTGGACAGCTTTGAAGTCTTGTGTTCAAACCCCTCCTCTGCAGTAACTCAGATTATCAGCTTGCACATATACATGCAGGTTATCACATACAGCTGGCAAAGTAACTGGCTCAATTCCCTGTATCTCAGATTTGAACTTGGCTCCATCCCATCCAAACCGTTCTTTTGCACTATTGGACTCAAGGTACTATTTTAGTAGATTTTGCTAGTCCTCTCAAAGGCTTTCATGGCTGGAATCACTGGGTTGCTGTGAGATTTCCAGGCTGTATGGTCTCCTGATGACTCCCCCAGGCAAGAAGCAGCCAGATTTTGAAGCTGCAAGGCCATTCAATGCTAATCAAGGTGGCCAACTGCAACATTCACACTTGCCTCAAGCACATAAGAGTTCTTTTTCCCACTCTGGACATTCCACAGATATATAAACCCCATTTGCCTCATTTCCAACAGATCTCACAACCTCTGAGGATGCCTGCCATAGATGCAGGCAAAACGTCAGAACAGAATGCTTCTGGAACATGGCCATACAGCCCAGAAAACTCACTGCAACCCAGATTTTGCTAGTGTTTTGGAATTCATATTCCTTCAGAATTTTGGAATACTTATATTTTCTTATACATACATAATGAGATAGCTTGGTGACGGGATTCAGCTCTCAGCATAAAATTCAATTATGTTTCTCATACACTTCACATAGCTTGAAGGTAAAGGTAATTTCATATACAATATTTTTCATAATTTTGTGAAATAAGGTAAAGGTAAAGGTTTCCCCTGACATTAAGTCCAGTCATGTCCAACTCTGGGGGTTGGTGCTCATCTCCATTTCGAAGCCGAAGAGCCGGCGTTGTCTGTAAACACCTCCAAGGTCATGTGGGTGGCATGACTGCATGGAGTTCTGTTACCTTCCCACCAGAGTGGTTCTTATTGATCTACTCACATTTGCATGTTTTTGAACTGCTAGGTTGGCAGAAACTGGGGCTAACAGTGGGAGCTCACCCCGCTCCCTGGATTCAAACCTGGGACCTTTCGATCAACAAGTTCAGCAGCTCTGCACTGTAACCCACTGCACCACCGGGGACTCCTTTGTAAATTAAACCAACTATAAGAAAGCAAAGGTGTCACTTTGTCTCAGCCACCAGGTGGACAGTTTGGGATTTTTGAGTATTTCAGAATTCTGGGTAAGTATTGTTCAACCTAGAGTTTAAAACATAAAATAAACCAAATTTGTAACAAGGATATAGAAACCTACTCAATGGCCTTGGCTCAGGTCAGAGGAAAGCAAAGGCAAACTCTCTTCGGAACAAGAAAAACCTCTGATAGGGTCACAAGTCGGAAATGACTTGAAGCCACACAACAACAAGAACATGGACCACCATATAAACCATTCTTGTCCTCTCTGATTTCCATTCTATGACATTTGATCATATTAAAAGGATAGCAGAAAAACATGAGACCCAAGGCGGCTGCTGTCCATCAGTACTGCACTCGATATAGAACTGATTGGATTCAGAGTAAGGCAGCTGGGAGGCAACTTAAGAAGAGCCACGTGCTGGATCAGAGAGGAGGATGTTTTGAATTGCATTCCACTTCCCACTGAGGCCAACCAGTTGCTTTTGAAAAGCCCATAAAAAACAAATGGGTAAAACAGAACTGATGGCTCGCCTTTTTCAACAACTGGGTGTAAGAGGTGTACTGTTTCTGATTTGTTGTTTATTCGTTCAGTCGCTTCCGACTCTTTGTGACCTCATGGATCAGCCCACGCCAGAGCTCCCTGTCGGCTGTGGCCATCCCCAGCTACTTCAAAGTCAAGCCAGTCACGTGAAGGATATCATCTATCCATCTTGCCCTTGGTCTTCCTTTTCCCTTCCATTTTCCCCAGCATAATTGTCTTCTCTAAGCTTTCCTTCTTCTCATGATGTGGCCAAAGTACTTCATCTTTGCCTTTACTATCCTTCCCTCCAGTGAGCAGTCTGCCTTTATTTCCTGGAGGATGGACTGGTTGGATCTTCTGGCGGTCCAAGGCACTCTCAGAATTTTCCTCCAACACCACAGTTCAAAAACATCTATCTTTCTTTGCTCAGCCTTCCCTATGGTGCAGCTCTCGCATCCATAGGTTACTACAGGGAATACCATTGTTTTAACTATGCGAATCTTCGTTGCCAATGTGATGTCTCTACTCTTCAGTATTTTGAGATTGGTCATTGCTCTCCTCCCAAGAAGTAAACATCTTCTGATTTCCCGGCTGCAGTCTGCGTCTGCAGTAATCTTTGCACCTGGAAATACAAATTCTGTCACTGCCTTCATGTTTTATTTTTCTATTTGCCAGTTACCAATCAGTCTGGTTGCCATAATCTTATTTAACTGCAACCCAGGTTTTGCCCTTTCTTCTTTCACCTTGGTTAGAAGGCTCCTCAGCTCCTCATTGCTTTCGGCCATCAAAGTGGTATCATCTGCATATATAAGGTTGTGAATGTTTCTTCCAGCCATTTTAACTCCAGCCTTGGATTCATCAAGCCCCGCACATTGCATGATGTGTTCTGCATACAAATTGAATTGGTCAAGTGAGAGTATATACAGCCTTGCTGTACTCCTTTCCCAATCTTGACCAGTCGGTTGTTCTGGGGCCATAGAATCATAGAATTGGAAGAGAATTTGTGGGCCATCCAGTCCAAACTCCTGCCAAGAAGCAGGAAAATCACATTCAAAGCACCCCTGACAGATGGCGGTCAGGGGTGCCAGTCTGAGTCCCTCTATGGAGGTTGAGAAGATCGGGATATAAAAGTTTTAAATAATAAATAAATAAATGGCCATCCAGCCTCTGTTCAAAAGCCTCCAAAGAAGGAGCCTCCACCACACTCCAGGGCAGAGAGTTCCACTACTGAACAGCTCTCGCAGTGAGGAACTTCTTCCTAATGTTCAGATGGAATCTCCTTTCTGAAGAACTTCCTCACTGTTGCTCCTTGGTCCTTCTACAGCAGGGGTCCTTAAACTAAGGCCTGGGGGCTGGATACGACCTTCCAAGGTTATTTACCCAGCCCTCGCTCAGGGTCAGCCTAAATCTGAAACAACTTGAAAGTACACAACAACAGCAACAACAACAACAACAATCCTATTTCATCAGCCAAAAGCAGGCCCACACTTGCCACCAAAATACTAATAAGTTTATATTTGTTAAAATTGTTCTTCATTTTAATTATTGTATTGTTTTAAAGTATTTTTGCACTACAAATAAGATATGTGCAATGTGCACAGGAATTCATTTGTGCTTTTTTCAAATTATAATCCAGCCCTCCAACAGTTTGAGGGACTGTAACCTGGCCCTCTGGTTAAAAAGTTTGAGGACCCCTGTTCTACAGATTCCTCAGGAGACAGACAAGGTGACTTGGGATCCCCATACCACCAAGAACTTGCCACAATTTATTATGACCCAATCCTCGTTGGCATAACCCATAGGGCGTTCTCAGCCCCCCATCTCCCCACCTGCCCGCTCCAGAGACCTACCTGGGCACACCTGCTGGTAATCGTGGCAGCAGTCCAAGGTGTGCGGGCAGGCCTGGTCGCAGTAGCAGGGCCCGTGGGAGCCGTCGGATCGCCACCCGGTGCCCACGCATGCCATGCTCCGGCCCGCGCAGCACCGCCCCAGCTTGGCACAGCCGCCCCGCGCCTCGCCGGCAGCAACAGCGGCCAAGAAGAGAAGGAGGGGGAAGAAGAGAAGCCAAGGCGGCAGCCCGACAGCAGATCCCCGGGACAGGCGCGCAGGCATGTCTCCCCTGGCCCTGCTCAAGAAGCAGAGCCACACACTGGGAAAGAAACCTGGACAGAGCCTTGAGAGCGGCTTTGGACGGGAAGAGGAGGGCAGAATGCGTCCGGCACTTTGTGCTGTGGCTGTGGCTCGAGAGACTTGAGCATTCATTCAGGATGCTGACCAGCCTGACTCCGGCCCTTCCTGCCGAGGAAGGGAACTCCCTCGGGTGCCTGGCTGGAACCTGGAAGCCCCGCCCTCCAGCCCAGCAGCAGCCTGCCAACGCCACCGTCCACCCTCTCCCAAGAAAATCCAACCAGGCTGCCCTTCAAGGGAGGAGGAGGAAGAGGAGGAGGAGGAGGAGAAGGAGAGGAAGGGGAAGGGGAAGAGGAAGAGGAAGAAAAAGAAGAGGAAGAGGAAGAAGAAGAAGAAGAGGAGGAGGAGGAGGAGGAGGAGGAGGAGGAGGAAGAGGAGGAGGAGGAGGAAGGGGAAGGGGAAGGGGAAGGGGAAGGAGGAGGAGGAGGAGGAGGAGGAGGAAGACGACACTGGCACAAACCAGTAAAGGTGGTCCCAGTGGTGACCGGCACACTGGGTGTAGTGCCTAAAGCAGGGGTCCACAAACTTTTTAAACAGAGGGCCAGGTCACAGACCTTCAAACTGTTGGAGGGCCGAATTATAATTTGGAAAAAAAATGAATGAATTCCTATGCACACTGCATATCTTATTTGTAGTGCAAAAAAAAAAACCCACTTAAAAACAATACAATAATTAAAAAGAACAATTTTAACAAATATAAATTTATTAGTATTTCAATGGGAAGTGTGGGCCTGCTTTTGGCTGATGAGATAGGATTGTTGTTGTTGTTGTTGTTGTTGTGTGCTTTCAAATCATTACAGACTTAGGTTGACCCTGAGCGAGGGCCGGGTAAATGACCTTGGAGGGCCGCATTCGGCCCCTGGGCCTTAGTTTGAGGACCCCTGGCCTAAAGACCTTGGCCTGCACTTAAACACAATCGGCGCTGACAAAATTACCATCTGCCCGCTGCAGAAGGCCACCTTACTGGGATCTGCACGCATTATTCGCGATACATCACACAGTCCTAGACACTTGGGAAGTGTCCGACGTGTGATCCAATTCAACAGCCAGCAGAGTGCTGTGGACTCATCTTGTTGTGTTTTGAATAATAATAATAATAATAATAATAATAATAATAATAATAAAATCTTTATTTATACCCCGCCACCATCTCCCCAAGGGGACTCGTGGCGGCTTACATAGGACCAAGCTCAGCAATACAGTAAACAATATACAACAGAACACAGGAAAATAAAATAAAATAAAATACAAACCCATTAAACTTAAATGCATCAACAATATAAAATCACACATTAAACATAGAAATTGATCACATTGGGCAGGCCGATTTGAATAGATTTAAAAAAAATTAAAAACATTGGGGAGACAGCAATGCAATGTGCATAGGCAGGGGATCCGAGAGGTAGAGTAGGGTGTGATTGCACGAACAGGAGAATCAAGTGCTACCAAGGGCCATTTTACGAGGTAGGTCATGTCAGGGTATTATTCTTCATTCATTCATGGAAGGCACAGTGGAACAGCCAGGTCTTCAGCTCTTCCTGAAGGCTGCCAGGGTGGAGGGCTTGTCTAATATCTCTGGGGAGCGAGTTCCAGAGACGGGGGGCCACCACAGAGAAGGCCCTCTCCCTCGTCCCCACAAGTCACGTTTGTGATGGGGGCGGGAGCGAGAGAAGGGCCTCCAGAAGATCGAAGAGAACATGTAGGTTCATAAACAGAAATGCAGTCACGCAGGTAGACATGTCCCAAAACCGTTCAGGGCTTTGTAAATAAGAACCTGCACCTTCAATTGGGACCGGATAGAGGGCATTCCATTGGATCTGGCTTATTTATTTATTTATTTATTTATTTATTTATTTATTTCATATCAAAAGTATTTCATAAATTAGTATAAAACCGATAAAAATAGAAGGAGTGCAGGTGGCTAAATATCTTTTGACCAAAAATAGGCAACAGCAATGGCATTGTCTGTAGCCTCCAGCAATTCTTCCTCTGTACATGAGACAGGGCATAGTGGACAAGCATACAGATGCGGAGTTGTCTGTTCTGCTCCACAGTCACAAAAGGTGTGGGATTCTTTTAGGTAGTGCCATTTTGCCAGGTTGTCTTTTAACCTGCCCACTCCACTTCTGAGTCTGTTCAGGGAGTTCCAAGTTTGCCCCTGGAGGAAGACCCTCATGAGGGGCCATCCAGTTGGGATTTCCTGGCTTAGCTGCACAGAGGGATACCCTTGCTGTTGCTGGGGGAACGGTGAAAGGAGTGGTAGTTCTCATAAAGCATTTCCTTGATTTGAGTCTACGGGAGGAGGCTGGTAGCCATGTAGTAGATGGCTTTCACAGTGGTCAACCTTATTCCTCTAACATTTAGCAACAACTTCCCATTGCACATTGGGGGGGGGGGGGGGGCAATGCCAGCTAGCTTGTAAAGTTTTTTTTCAACAGGTATAGATTGGATCTGACTGGAAGGCAGAGGGCTGGATCCCCAGCTATTTACTTGGGAGTAAGCACAGGCATGGAGTGGGCGGGTTTATTACTAATGGCCATCCAATCAACGTTAACTTCAAGTTGCTCTAGGTAAAGGTAAAGGTAAAGGTAAAGGTTTTACTCTGACATTAAGTCCAGTCGTGTCAGACTCTGGAAGTTGGTGCTCATCTCCATTTCTAAGCTGAAGAGCCGGCATTGTCCATAGACACCTCTAAAGTCATGTGGCTGGCATGACTGCATGGAGCACCGTTACCTTCCCGCCAGAACTGTACCTATTGATCTACTCGCATTTGCATGTTTTTGAACTGCTAGGTTCTGTGCTGGTTTGAAACTGAGCGAAGTGGTCAGTGTACATGTGTCTGTGGTCTCCAACATGCTGCAAGATCCCTTTGCATACTGATAGAGAATAATAATAATAATAATAATAATAATAATAATAATAATGCTTTATTTGTATTCCATCCTACCTTCCTGAGGGGACTCAAGGCAGATTCCATCATATACAGAAAGGAAACATTCAATGCCTAGAAACAACGAAACACAGATACACAGATAAAAGTAAGAGCTTCTCCTTCTGGCTCTGGGGCTGGTCTCCATTTCTAAGCCAAAGAGCCTATGTTGTCCGTAGACACCTCCTGGGTCATGTGGCCAGCATGATTGCATGGAGCGCTGTTTACCTTCCCACCAAGGCGGTACCTATGGATCTCATATTTGCATGTTTTCAAACTGCTAGGTTGGCAGGAGCTAAGGCTAACAGTGGGAGCTCACCCTGCACTGCGGATTTGAACTGCTTACCTTCTGGTCAGCAAGTTCAGCAGCTCAGCAGTTCAACCTGTTGCACCACTGCAGCCCCATGAATAACATGGCTAAGCCTTTGAATTAAACTTCCAAGCATACCAGTCACCAAAATCCCTGCTTTAGGTTCAGTGGCTTCTTTCAGTCTTTCCACCTGAATTATTTTATTCTTCTTTTCCTATTCACTCCTGTTTTACCAAGCACTAGCTTCTTTCTAATGAGCCACCTCCTTTCAACATGGCCTGTTTAGTTCACTTTGGCTTCTGGGAAGAAGTGTAGTGTTGTGTGTTTTCGTGCCTTCAAGTTGATTTATGAATTTTATAGGATTTTCATAGGCAAGAAATACTCAGAGGTGGTTTTGCCAGTTCCTTCCTCTGAAATATACCCTGCAGCACCTGGTATTCATTGACGATCTTTCAGTCAGCCATTGATTTACTGTACAGCCAGAGACCAAGTGTTTTTATTTCACTATTAAGTGGCTTATTGTTGTCACTCACTATTCCCCAACTTGTTTACCTTACAAGGTTGATTCTATTTTCTGAAATAAGCTGTTTGAAATGTTTTTGAACATTCAAAGGAAATGCTATATATGTCAAAGGTGTGGAAGCTTTGGTCCTTCCAGTGTTTCAGACTATGACTTCTCCATCCCATAATCATGGGCAGCTGGGAAGTGTAGGTTACATTTTTTGGAAAATATGAATCTCCATAACCATCTGGGAAATCATAGAATCATAGAATCAAAGAGTTGGAAGAGACCTCATGGGCCATCCAGTCCAACCCCCTGCCAAGAAGCAGGAATATTGCATTCAAATCACCCCTGACAGATGGCCATCCAGCCTCTGTTTAAAAGCTTCCAAAGAAATGGGATTCATAACCTTTTTGGAAAATCACTGGTCATTGGAAAGGCATGATCTTGTTAGAAGTCACAACCTTTTGAAAAATGATGTTCACTAGCATTCTTGCAAGGCAACTAGGTCTCTCAGCTGTTAAACCGGTTTACCTTTGAACTGCCAGGACCAAAGACATGTCAATGCACAAAAACATATATTTAGCAGAGCTTCAGAAGTGTTCCTTTAATTGTCCAAAAACATCTACTCTCCTTAAACTATATTTGCCTTTAAATCATGCTCTCAAGAGACAAAATAAACACTCTTCTTCAAAAGTAACAAAGTTGGTTTACTCAGACAACATCATGTATACAGCATACAGGCACCTTGCTTATGAATCCACTTACAATAGAATTTTAAGTAGTTTCTCTGAGTAGGTGACACAAGGCATCTTCTTAGAAACAATAGTTCATGGTTCAATGGATATCTCTGTCAAGGCCTCGCTGCTTCCTGCCTTAGGGAATTTTTTGTTGGGAGGTGTTAGCTGGCCCTGATTGATGCATGTCTAGAATTCCCCTGGTTTTTTGGGGGGTTTGTTTTGTTTTGTTTTGTATTCTCTACTTCATCTATTATGCTACCCCCCCCCTCTTTTTTTCTTTCCTATTCTTGACCCTGATACTTTTCCCGCTCAGTTTTTATGTTCTTCTTTTTTTTTTGGCATTATATGATTTTATGGAAAATCAATAAAGATTATTTTAAAATAAATAAAATTCCCCTGTTTTCTGAATTTTTTTTTTTTACTGTCCTGATTTTAGAGTTTTTTAATACTGGTAGCTAGACTTTGTTCATTTTCATGGTTCATTTTCATGTGGAGTATCCTTTTAGGAGTCGCAAGCAGTTACTGGCTTTTTGTTGCTATTGCTACCAGCCACATTCAGAAGCTATAAAATGAAATGTTGAGGATGGTTTGACAGACACAGAGTCTGCTTGAGACCCCTGCCAGCCAGCATTTGGCAGAAGAAAAGAAATGCATTTGTTCTGAAATTGTGTACAGGGTCTGTTCAAGAGAATGGGGGATTTCATACAAGCTATACAAACCAACTTGTATTCCTGGGAACTTTTGCTCCGAATTCT